GGGGGGGGGGTGGAATTAGGAGTTTTTATCCAATGCTCTCTCTAGCTTACCAACTCGCGTAATTGCATCTCATTGATAATTTTTCTCTTATGTCGATTTTTTTTTTCAAATAAGCTTAAAACAATTTGTTTAAAATAAACAATTAATTTAGTTTTTTACTGGAACATTTTGTTAATTGTAACGATTTTGTTAATTGTAATGATTATCTGGATTTGAGAAATAAGCTGATGTGCATAGAAGGGATAAACTTTTTTTTTACTTAAGTAACTCATATATTGATATAATTTACTGTAAAAAATAAACTAATTATAAAATATGCTTAGATTATTTGTAAGTCAAGCAGTAGTGCTGAATTAAATATTTCACGTGACACATTATGTTACTGTTTCTTAAAAGAGCTCAATTAATTTTTTCGAGTTTTAATCTTTTAATGCTCCAGACATAAAAAGCTTTAATTAATTTTTTTATGTTATTCCTTTTCTATAAATACTTTAACTAATTCTTTATTCAAAACGAAAAGCTTTCTCACACTTTTAATTTCGCATCCTGTCCCTTAATTTATTTTTGGTTCAAGTATGCATTAATTATAAGTCCGACATTTTTCCCTTTGCTCTTTGTGGGAATCGAGTGACCCATTTAATAAACCAATTACAATTACTATGATTTCCCTTATTCCCTAAAACGAGACATTTTACGGATTTACTTCGCAAGATTTTCCCTAGCTTCTGTTGAGGAGCACAACGATTTCGTTTCTACTTTGATAACCGTTCTCTGTCTAATAACTAATAAATAAATTTTGTATCCTCTTTCCCTGCCTAACACCTGTTTTTATCCCTCTACTCGGCAACGACGTTATATATATATATAACGTCGTTGTATATATGTGGCCTGTGGTTATTGCAGAGTCACTTAGAATAATCTTTACAATTGGAGGGTAAAAAAATGGTAAAATTTATTATTTAACAGTTGTTTTCTATTTTAATAAATTAGATTTAGCCCACTAGGACTAGATGTATATGTATCCATTTCAGAAGGTTGTCACTCTGTTCTTTTCTGTCTTAAAGAAATTAAACGTACTCATACCCCATAACTACGGCTGATTTTCCGTGCTTTCGGAAAATATTTTTCTTAGTGGTAGCAGAGGAAATGCATTTATATTTTTAATAAATTACAATTAAAGAAATTTAGCCTATTACTATATGTAATTAATTTAAATGAATTTATAAATGATCATAGACAACTGTTTATGTTCTTAACCCCTTGGGGACGGGTGATTCAGAAAAGCATTCGTACAAAATCAGAATCAAGTTGTGATTAAATAAAAAACGGTAACTTAAATGTAGTCGTTGCTAATTTGATAGATTTACTTTGCTTTTACTTTAATTATTGTTAGTTTAATCATATATATAATCAATGTTAATTCAAAGTATAATTAAATAGTTTTATTTTGAACAAAGTAATGGTGAATTAAATAAATCAAACAATTATAATTCCGCCCACAAATAAACTGCTAAGGAANTATATTGAATTGCTTCTTCGCCGTAATAAATTTACATCATATATTAGGACCTATCGCTTTTAGTATAAACTAATTTGTGATTTCCGCTTCTGCGTTTTCGCTCGCCACTCTACTCATCACTGCATCGTCACAATTCTAGGCGCCCACGGGCACTACCTTAGATGAAAAAGTCAATTGTCCGCTTCGCGGACAGGTACTTTGTATCCTACTATAGTTCAAGTTCAAGTTCCGTAATAAATTTCCTTGCAGTGAATTGTTATGGTTGAGAATAGATTAACACCTCCCGAATATTATCTAATATTGAAATAGGTCTTCTACCAGTATTTTCTCTTTTCCTGTACGAGTATTCTCACTTTTCCCGGTGTGCACGTGTTCAAGAATCGTAGACAATTAAAAACTGAAGCTAATAGAACTGTGGGTATTTTCGTTAAAGTTTTAAAAGTTGTTCTTCGAAGGAACTGGATAATAATGGCGTTTTACATGAACTTTTAGATCATTTCCATGCAGCGGTGTGGAAAATACCATTAAATCAAACAGGAAGAAGAAAAAAGAAGGGGGGGGGGGACAGAATTTCATTATATTAGGTATCACTAGAAAAAATTTTCCTTTCCAAAGACCCTAGAAAGTTGGCAGTCCTGTAAAAACTAACTAGATTTTAATAAATTTTTGTTAGTTTATTTCAAATTGTCTACCACTTTTACATTTTATAAGACACTGCGACTACTTACATAAATGCACTTTTCATATTATTATATAACAAATGAATGCATAGCTAATTACACCCTTTTTTGCGAAAAGTAATTTAACAGTATTTTAAATGATGATAGCAATATTATAGAAATTTTTTTGGTAAAGAGGATCAATCTTAAATTACATGTTTAAATTATTTATTTTCTGTAGTGGTTATTGAAGAGTCACTTAGAATAATCTTTACAATTGGAGGGTAAAAAAATGGTAAAATTTATGATTTAACAGTTGTTTTTTATTTTAATAAATTAGATTTATCCCACTAGGACTAGATGTAAATGTATCCATTTCAATAGCTTGTCACTCAGTTCTTTTCTGTCTTGAAGAAATTAAACATACTCATACCCCATAACTACTACGGATTTTCCGTGCTTTTGGAAAATATTTTTCTTAGTGGTAGCAGAGGAAATGCATTTATATTTTAAATAAATTACAATTAAAGAAATTTAGTCTTTTACTATATGTAATTAATTTAAATGAATTTATAAATGATCATAGACAACTGTTTATGTTTTTAATTAAAGATTTTTGAAATTTCGCTTCGTTGGAAAAAAAATGTGTATTATTTCAATTGTACTGTAGAGAAAGAAAAATTTCCAAAAAAAAATGTGTGCATTCGTTTTCTAAGCTTGTGTATTAATATAAATTTCATCACTGCGAATTGAAATTATACTGTGACTATACGTTATAACGGAAGAAAATGCTAAGCTTAACCTGCACTAGTTCACTCAAAGAAATTGAATGAACGGAATTCATTCCGCTACTTGCTCCGCTTTCTAAAATAGTATTTTCTAGTGGTAGCGAATTTAAATTACTTTTAGTTTAGTATTTTTCATTTTAAGTAATTTTTTACCACTTAATATCAAAAATTATAAGTATCATATAAAATGCAACGTTGCAGCAACAATTTGCTGGTTATTGTATTAAAAAGTAGACGTAACCATCTTTCTTTAACGAACTTTACTAAAACTGTTCCAGAAAGCGGAGCAGTTGCAATTTGCATCCCTGGGAATTATTTGGGTTCTATTTTTCAAGATACATCCACGAGCAAACTTAATTGCAAGTTAATGCTTCACTTAGAGAAAATTGAGTGTATATAGGAATTCATTCAAAAATTTATTTTTTAATCATATTAAAAAAAAATTATTTTATAAAGTGGTAATTAATGAATTAACTAATTTTTATTATTCACATAGTTGGTGCATTTTTCTTAAAAAGTCCTTCCTTTTCGACCGAACTGAATTGTCAAAAGAGTGGAAACGGAGAAATAAAATTCCAAATGTGCGTTTATTCCTTTTTATTTAATTTTTACAACTAAATTGATGTTGGACACTGTTAGGCGGCATCTTTCGAAAAATTTTAAAATACAATTGTCATTATCCAATCAGAAATTGAGATTTAAGGCTTGGGGTAGTTTAGATTCTCAATAAATTTTTTCAGACCAAATTAAGCTAATGCAATTCTGCGCAATCTATTTAATTGATGGTTAAAATGTAAGCAGTTGCCTGTTTTTAGATTTTTTTTTAAGTACGTATGTTTTTATGCAGGAAGAATTTTTTAGGATCTTTTAAAGGATTTTTTTGCAATTTTAAACTGTAATAAAACTAGAGTTTAAAAAATATAAAACCTGATAAACGTGTAATTTTAAATTGTTTTTTGAAAACCACAAATCGCTTCATTTTCTCACTATAAAATTGAGAAAAAAATCATAAAAGCTCTAAATATATGAAGCACTATTTTTCCTAAACTAATAAAGCAACTCCTTTATTTTCTACTTTTATTGAAAGGTCTGTCTATTATTGCTGTCTAATAATACTATATCATCAAAAGTTTGTTAAGTACAACAAAAATATCAAGAAAACACAAATGAAAAATTTTACTTAAATTTCAAGATGGCCAGAAAAGAGGCCTCTTAAGCATCATTGATAAGACCCATGTATAAAACAGGTTTTAAGCAGTCCTTATTAAAAATTTAAAAAAAAAATTATGTAGTATATTTACGATAAAAGCAGTTATTATATTTTCGCATCGTGTCACTGTTTCAGTTATAAAAGGACTTTATAAACTTAAATATAAATGAATAACCCTATTTTATTGTTATGTTGTTGTTATAACCAGAGTATTTCATGTCTCTGACTGATCCTAAACCATAATAAAGGCTTAATTCCGGTTTATTTAATGAAATCCTAAGTTTGAATATTTATTACATTGTCATAAAAATTAACTCATTTAGATATAGAGATGGAACGAAATGAAATTTTACAAACATAAATACAGCGTTGTTTAAACTAAGTGATTAAAACCTCAAAGCAAAATGGCAAGAAAAAACACAAATTATAGGAGATTCTAGTACCTGCTTGGGCCAACTCTATGTAGCCGCGGTAGCTCAAGGAATAAAGCTCTCACCTTCCAATGAAGTAGTCCAGGTTCAAATTCCAGCGATGATTAATCGCTGGAATTTGCATAAGGCACATTGCTGACATAAAATATATCCTCAGTTTTATACGAATCATTGGCTAGAATCCCCTTACCATCTGAGTAAACGTAGCAGGTTTTAATCGTTTTCCTCTAAATGTAACGAAAATGTTACTTCCGTCAAAAAGGTTCTCAATGAAGGTTATTTCATCCCAATATCTGAGTCAGGAGTTCCCTTGTCTTCTGAGTTCAGTTCAAAATAACAAATCTACTGAATTGAACATTGAAAATCGTAGATCCAAAAATAGCTCGGCTGTTCAACACCGGTTATAAAGTAACATAAAATGAGTCGTAACCACTATAGGGTGACTCATTATTAAACATATGTCCAATAATTTCTATAGATTAACCATAGGACGTTTTAATTATTTTATTACTTCACTGGACTAGAAGTTCTTATATTAGCAATAATATCGTATTTGTTTTTATCCCTACCAAAGAACAATTATCATAATTAAGAGTATAGTGCGGCCTTCAAGAGAACTCCTCCAGACACAGTCTCGCGTCGTGCCATGTACCATGGTTACGAGGAAAAGTCACTTCGAATAGGGGTGTGGGGTGAATAGTTTTGTCTTGATCTTGGCACAGGTCAGCGTGAGTAAACAAATCGACACCTTCATTCCTCCATTGCAACCCCATTAGAAATGTGCTTTCGCTTGTTACCATAGCAGCAGACAGCCTCAAACTATTAGTCTGGAGAAGTTCTCCTTTAAGCCGCACTGTACTCAGATCAAAATCAGTAAAAATAATCTATAATTAGATTCGAAAATGTATCGCCTGTAACGATATCAGGTGTTAAAATTAACATTTACTATTGGTGTTTTTGTTTGCATAGATTTTGAAAGCAGAAGGACACAAATTCCACCCTGAGTGTTTCAAATGTAGTGCCTGTAAAAAGTGCCTGGATGGTGTGCCTTTTAGTGTCGATCCAGACTCTAAGAATGTTCTTTGCATGGATGATTATAAAAAGTAAGACTTCTTATAAGACAGTAGCTTAGCATGCACTTTCAGTATATATTTAATGCTGTTTCTCAAAAAGCTTCATTAGGTATAATGTCTTTAAAAATTTTTATTTTCTAACTAAACGCTTGCTCTGCAGATACAGAACTGCCAATTTTTTTACGCTTTGCGAAACAATTTCTTTCAGTGGTTGCGAATTCTATGTTTTAATAAGTAATTCTATGTTGAGTAAATTTAATTTAAAATTATTGTCCACACCACTACATGTGAAAATTTAAAAAGTTTATATCGAACGTCACTTTTCAGTTTAATATTCTTGCCCCCTTTTTGTATGTATTTCCAAACTGTAAATATTCATTGCTGTTTATTTTCCCATTGTACTTTAATTTTACCTTTTTCATGTACATTTTTATTACTTATAATTTTGTCAGTGCCTAATAATGGCAAAGTGCCATTTTCTTTTCTCAAGAACTCCATTTGCTCCCCAAACTTTAATTTTGTCATGTATGTCTCTAAGTTTAACTTCAAGATGAATGGGAAAAGGGCCGTGAGGCCTCAGACGCCCAGTTCCACTACAACGAACGAACGAAGTTTAATATTCTTCTACAACAACTGTATTCATGCATGGGCATTCATTTGTTTTCCTGCGTTTTATACGGAATTGGTATTAAACTATAATTTTAATTTCTTTCATCTTGTCTTAATTTTAACTTTTACCTGAATATAAAAGAATAAATCAATACTTCCCTTATAATCAATACACTCCTTATAAGTTTTGTATTTCCAGTGAAGTTGTTGCCTATTTTTAAATAACTATTTCAAATGTTAAAATTTTAAAATCGTTAATTAATTTTTAACTTTTGATTTAAATATTAATTAGTCTTATGGTTCTTAAAATTATGTAATTGTAATTCAGCTCAGATAGGAGGTACTGTATCGATACAAGGCACTCCGTATGTTTGTGCTCTAGTACAAGCTGTAGCTTCTTGCGGCGAAGCTTTTGAAATGCTTGCAAAATTAGGCAAAATACTGAAAACTCTTGTTTTTAATTGTTTTCCACGCTATAAAAAATTTTGCAGAAAAGCGTAGTAATATCTTTTGTCTACTTGTAATGTTTGCTTCATGGTGTTTTTCTTTTCAACATCATTATTTAGAATAATGATGTTCTTAAAAAAACAGCATTAAGACCTTTTATTACAAGTCGGCTGTTTTTCAGATATGTTTATCCACTTTTAACTTTCGCTTAACTCTTTCATCATGACGGACGAGATAACTCGTCTTCTAAGAATAATCGTCATGGACTTGGAACGAGTTATCTCGTCCAATACACAGCATTTCTCTATATTAATACAGCGTGTCTAGCGATTTAGTTATCAACATTTTAGCGCATTTCAGCCCATAGTATTTCGTTTTTACAATGTTTCGTCAAAATGGCACCAGCATCACAATTTTTAGTGCCTTTGCGGATTTTTCGCAACTGTAACAAAGGGTGAGGCAAAGGAGAACCATTGACGCAATGAAGGTGTTAATAAAATAATGATGTTTTTTAACATTATTATTAAGCATATGGATGTATTAAAAACATATTAAGACCTATTCTTACGAAATGGTTACTTTGCATATATGTATCACCAACATTTAACATTCGCGAAATAATGTTTGTTTTGACATCATTATCAAGCATAATTGTGTATTAAAAAACACCATTAAGACCTGTTCTTATAAATCGATTACTTTGTCGATAATACATCATCAACTTTAATATTTGTTTAAAAATGTTTCATATAACCACAAAAAAATAAGGAGTGAAATTGTTTCATATTACAGTTCCGTGACTTTTCATATTACAGTACAGAAATGGAACGAGCGTCTGTTCTGGTGACAATGAACAACAGGTTTTGGCTCAACCATGTCTTTTGTCAGACTTACATTTCGCACGATCTTCAGAAAATTAAAAAGTGGTAGACAAAACTGAGATGATTAAAGAGATTCTAATTTACTCGCAATTTCAAAAAAAAATAATAATAATAATAATAACTTTAAGTACAAAGATGCCAAATAGCATGTCTTTATGAGGAATCCTTTTCCAATGGCAGCAACATTTATGCGTCCATATTTGAATCTTGGTTTAATAAATTTGAGCCAGACCTTTGCCCAGCACTGCAGATAAATAATGCGAACGCACAAATACAGTGACACACAGTCTTTATTAACATTTCCCGTGTATTTTAATGAGTTTTCAAATTTTAACAGAATTCTAGCAATTTCAGTGTTTCAAATTTCACCACGTTATAAAATATTTTGCAGAAAGCTGAGCAGTTGTCATCTGTGTAAAACAATCTCTGTAAATGTGTATCTTGTTGCGAAATCTTGGCATTCGGGGTTCTGAAAAATGTTTTTTTAAGTAGTGGCAAAATTTAAAAAAATGATGTTTTTGGCTTTTCGTAATTATTAAAAAACTTCGATGTATGGGTGTATGGGTAATTTATATATAGGCCTAAAAAAAAAACTTAGGAAGATTTTGCAATGCTCAAGTAAAAGCGAAGGCAAATGATCCCATAATAAATTTTACGAAAACGTGGAATGATTAGCAACTCGAAGAAATTAGCAACTCGTCTTTGGAAAGAAATTAGCGAAAGAAATTAGCGTCCTCTTTCAAAAGAAATTAGCAACTCGTCTTTGAAAAGGTTTGCTATTATTGAAAACTTGCTGAAACTTTTTTTGTCAGAAAAATAATATACATAAAGATACTATATAAGAATAATACGAAGTGAAAAAAAGAGCTTCTGGATCAAAAAATTCGAATTCTTGTATTCAATTCACAAATATCAAGGATAGAGGACTGCTAATATACAAGAATATCTATAACTATTCCTCAGTTCTATGATCAGAAGGGCAGTATTGGCCCTGCTTATTGTTTACGCAATTTCTCCGCAAATCAACACACGCCGTCCAACTCGTGGCTTACGTATATAATTGGTTTCGGGCCAAAGGTCCTCCCGCTGCCCCGTAATATTAAATATTAAGCAGTTCTATAGCCAATATAAAGAAAACATACCACCAAATAATATTCCCATTGTATTTTATTGAAATTTTGAGTTTTTAATATAATGGTAAATTTTTATTTTAGACGACGAGTGTACGCATCATACGCACTACAATAGAGATTTATTCCAACGTGTTTACATGTGACAAGCGCCTAACTAGCTGACATTTTTCAGCAGCTTTCAATAAAACTTATAGCTACATAGTTTTGTTTCTTCCCCGTCGTGGCAACCTTGTAAAATTTCAGAGTAAAGGAAATAAAGATTTTGCAAGCTTTTGATCGTCCTTCCCGAGCTTCAGGACGTCCTTAAACACACATGTGAATGGCTACAGCTGGTAACTCAAATACACAAATTTTGGAAAATTACTTGTGCCAGAACAAAGACGGTGTTTTCTTGAACAGAGTTTGTAATACTAAAATTTCTAAAGGTTTCAGTCCCACTTTTCGACGAACATAAATTACTACCCATATATAAATGAATATGTTTTAAAAATAAAATATTTAAAAAAAACCATTCCTGCAGCAGCACGTCGTGGCCAAGAGGGTCATAGACTTCTACAATTTCGTAATTAACATCATAACTGTGGCAAGTTTTCCGCTCAGGCCACCTTCACTATCAATACAAGCTCGCACCCGTCACTTTGAACCTAAGTAAGCTTCAAGCGAGGGATCGACCATTGGGGATCGGGACCCAGTTCTTCACAATGACTGTTCAGCGCCTTAACCACTGAGTCATCACAACACAATACATAATCAATACGACACATTGATCTGTTGTGGATTTATTTATTTAAAACTCTCTTTGAGGGACAGGATAACCTGTTTGGTAGGGCGTTGAACCCATATCCCAGTGGTCGTGAGTTCGATACGCACCGGCCGAAAACTCACCGTGTGCAAAATTGTGACTGGTGCATGTTAAATCTGTCGGCGTCACAAAGTCCTCCAAGTTTCCATAACAAATTAATATATATGGGGAACTGGGTCGGAGTTTGACAGTGCTCGAGCTTAGGTTAAAATTACGATCTACGAATGATTGGATAGCGTGTGAATGTGTCCTCCGTGTAAAACGGGCTGTGACGTATGTTTGTCGCGGAATTCGAATTTTGCCATAGATGGCGCCAATGGAAAAAACAAGAACCCCCCCTCTACTTTAAAATAGGCTTGTCAGACAAGTGGTATAAAACAACAGCAAACCCTCTTAGAAAAGTTGAGTCATATCGGATACTCGGCTAACGGAACTGCATAGTTTAACTTAATGCAACCCAATAAAACAAGGGAACTCCTGTACCCAAGCATTAGATAAACATCCTCTTAACATAATGGAAACCTTTTGATTAATCTAAAACACATTTGTTTTACATGGGCGGGGAAATCTTCCACAGAAAGCCTAGTAGCTAGGCGTTCTGTGCTACAGAAATTTTTTACGCCATCAATATGGGCAACGCGAACTGGGGGGAAAAGAATATGTATCAGCAATTTTCGCTGGGCTTTAAACCCTGGACACTTTATCCTTGACGGGTTTTTTTTTTTTATCTTTCTCAGAAAGATCCTGGGCATCAGATGCTTCTGAGTCATCAAAACACATAAATTGATAATAATCGCTAATTTAAATTACATTTTTTTCTTCTTCAGAAAAGTGGCTCCTCAGTGCGCCAGATGTAAGAAGCCAATTGCACCGCCTTCTTATTCAAATGAAGTCACCAGAGTTCTGGCAATGGGAAACAGTTATCACACTACATGTTACCGATGTGAAGTAAGGACAAGTCTATAATTTATATACATATATATATATTTATTGATAAAATTAATTATGTGGTCAGAAATATGGTGTTTTTCCTTCTTCAGGATAGTGGACTTCGTTTTTCGTTCAATAGCAATGTTTGAGATTGTTATCCTCTGAATGATAACAACCTCGACCATGGATGGTGTTTTCCACACTAGGGAACGCTGCAAGCTCGGGTACCGCCTAAATTTCCGGGTTACTGTTTCCGTTGTATTTTAAAGCCATTTGGCATCATTGTGTTTTTAGATTCTTGCAAACAATGTATTTGATTACTTATTACTTGTGTTTAAAATGCTAACAATACTTGTGTTTACAATGCTTAAAGTGTTAACACTAACGTAAGATGGTGCACAGCTTGCAACAAGAACAAACAGTAATAAACTTATGGAAAGAGGTCATATCAAGACTGCCAAAAAAGCGAGTTATTCAAAATCTAGCAAACATGTCAACTTTTTTAACAATATATCTCTAAATAACTAAAACAAATTTTCACTTCAAACTCACCAGAATTACATAATAACATTAATATCTTATGAAATACGGCAGATTTGAGCTCAGAAATTATCTAATTTACTTCTTTCATTGAAAACAAAATTATCCGTTTGAAAATGTCACCTCGCAGAATAAACTGTAGTAAGCAGCTGCAAACTTTCTAACCGGAATTAGAGCAGGCATACAGCTCGAGATTGTTATTGTTTACATTTCTACTGAAAACACCATCCATTGATTGCAAAGATGAGGCTTTATGAGAAAAATATTTATGTTTTGGCTTTAAGCTCGGTTAACAGGTAACTTAGCTACGTCACAATATGAATATTTAACTAGTTGTCCACTGTTGGTACAAATGGGATGGAGCATGGGAAGTTCAGGATTGTGGGCTTCCTCTCTCGTCTAATAGCAATGGTCGAGGTTGTTATCCTCTGAATGATAACAACCTAGACCATTGCTATTGGATGAGAAAAAGCAAATATTGGGGATTTATGAGAAAAATATTTACGTTTTGGCTTTAAGCTAGGTTATTATTATTTAGCTACCTCAGAATACAAATATTTAAACAGTTGTTAATTGATGGTAGTAACAGTTAACTTAGCTACGTCACAATATGAATATTTAATTAGTTGTCCATTGATGGTACAAAGTTTTCTTCTTTCTTTTTCAGGATTGTGGGCTTCCTCTCTCGTCCAATAGCAATGGTCGAGGTTGTTATCCTCTGAATGACCGGCTTTTTTGTTTCGACTGCCACAAAAGAAGAGCTCCCAATGTTGCCAAGATGACAGGAAAAGCCAAGTAGAACAGAAAATAAACAACTATCTTCAGAAATAGATCTTTTTCTTTTTTAGTTTTGGAATTATTTAATTAGCCAAGTTATTCTTAGGTCATAATTGTCCCATATTTGAATATTATTATCTTCATATTACACCTTAGAGAGATACTCGCATGGCATAAGGCTAATCATAATAAGAATTAAGTGATAAGTTATTTATTTAACATCAAACCGTGGCACTAAAAACTTAATTCTTTAACTTTACAATTTGAAGCTTTAAACAGCTATAAAGAATTTCGAATTTTAGCTTTTAAGATTTATAGAGCTTTTTTTTTTTTAAAAAAAAAAAAAAAAAGAAGTAAAAAACACACATTAGGTCATAAGAGCTCGAACCGAATCTAGAGAATCACTAGAGAGAAAGTCTCAAGACTAAAAAAATTAAAATCTGGTTTATTACCAAAGGAAACAAAAATTGCAAGGCAATTAATAGTAACATCTCTAAGTTGCATCAGAGAATCAAACTGCTTTATATGTTTTTCAGTCCCCCCTCCCTCAAAAGTAATTTGTTGCATATCAATAGCAGTTTTGTTTCTTATTCGCTTAAATATCAATTTAATACCTGCAATGTGCTAATTTTTTTTAATATAGATTCTAAAAATATATATTGAAGTTTTTGTTACAAAAGGCCTGTATAAATTCGTTAAACATGTAACTAAAAATATATTTTTTTTTCCTTATTTAACATTGGGCTATTTTTCAAAGTGAAATTGGTTTCATTTTATTTCACAGATTTTCTTACTTTTACGATTAAGGATAAAAAAAATAATACTCGACGTCACTTGAAATTTTAAATTTATTTTAAAACCTACTTTTAAAAAGTTAGAAATTTTAACTCAGAGGTAAACAAAAAAAAATGCATAAAATATTTGGTATATATATATATATATTTTTTGTATAACTACATGCAAGCACATTCATGTTTAAATATTTTTTTTAACTTTACTAAACTTGCTTTAGTTTATCATTTATGTGATACTCTCTTATAAAGAGATATGTTGTAACACAATGTGAATACTTTTTTGTTATTTATCTTGTAAAAGGAAAACAACTTGAAAAATTTATTCTTAATCTTGTTTTTAATAATAAATTTGTTGAAATTAAACTTCTTCTGAATTTCTTCATCGAATTTTTTTTTTTATATATGCATAACATAGTGGGTCTGGATTTCAATATTTTCAATGTTTAAGATAGTTGTTCTTAAACAGTTTTGTGCTTTTTCATTAGACAAAAAAAAAAAAAAAAATCACACAATAAGTCGCTCAACAGAGGTGGGTCCAGTCAAGAAAAACCCAGTGAGTGCTTTTTTTTCACATAGGGCCATTTTTATCTCTATGGGTTCTTTCACATTTTATGTGTATTAAGTTTTTTTTTTTTTGTTATTATCAAACCAAATTGTTTTTTGAAACTATCAACTTGTTTAATAAATATAACTTTGCAGCTTTTTTTTTTGTAAAAAATATTACGAAGTAAAACAACAAAAATTTTGTTGATCTGGAGAGACTAGAATATAAGCTAATTGGCAGTTTTTAATTTTTTTTTAAAATTCTTTGATTTTTAATTTTAAATATATTAAAACATTATAGTGACAAGAATGATTACAAAAGGCTTCTCAGACACCAGAGAGGAGAAAAATAATTTCTCAGGTTCTATCTAAAAATCTCCACCTAAAGTGTAGTTCTATAAAATAGTATTAAAAAAAAACTATCAATCTCTACTAATTTAAAACATTTATTTATTTATCATAACAGAAAATGACAAAATCAAAAAAGTAATAATGAAGAAGCAGGTGTGTATAATTTTCAGAGCTGACAAACCATTAAAATAAAACGTAATGCTTCTTAGATGCATTGTTGTCAAGAAGTTACTTAAAATGAAAACTTTTACAATAAAAAGGAGAAGATACACAATAAAAGGAAGAGTAAAGGATTCACATAAATAAGAGAAGTTTTCACTCCACGATGCATATTATTCATGCTCCATAGACGCTCTCATCACTATAGGCTATGTACAAAAATGAATCCTCTTCATGGTGCTCCTGCAGAGGAAAAAAAGCAACATTGTTTATTTATTGCAACAATGGCATAATTTAATTTGAAAACAAATCCAATAAACAAAAATTAAATCCAACTTATAACAACTTTAAATAATGTTTTTTTAACATTTGCCTTAACTATATAGTTAGAAAAATTTTGTAAAATACAGTTAGGAATGCACTTTTTGATTTGTTGAATATACAGAGTACAGGTTGAATATACACCGAAGAGCCATTACATTATGACCACCCTGCTAATAACATGAAGGACCACCTTTAGCCCTCAAAACTGCTAGCACCCCCTGTGGCATTCATACCACAAGGTGCTGATATGTAGTCTGAGGTATCTGGTACCAAGCGCTCACCAACTGGTCCTGTAATTTCCTGACATTGTGAGGGGGTAGCGTGGCAGCACGAATTTGGTTCTCCAAGTAGGACCACAAATGCTCTATTGGATTAAGGTCAAGTGAATTTGGGGGCCAAGACATGACTTGAAAGTCACTGGAATGTTCCTCGACAATTCGACCCTTATGACATGGTGCATTATCCTGTTGGTAAACACCATCCCCCGCAGGAAAAACTGTTGCCATGAATGGGTGAACTTGGTCTGTAACTATGTTCAAGTAGCTTACAGACGTCAGGGATAGTTCTATGAGGTTTATGGGTCCTAATGTGCCCCATGAAAACATAGTTCCTGGGCGAGAAACCATGAAAACCTGGGCGAGCCCATTGTTATAGATGGAGGGTGGTCATAATATAATGGCTCTTCGGTGTATAGTGTACAGTGACAAAAATAAAATCCAACTTTTAACATTAAATAATATTTTTTTTTATACATTTAGGAATCCATTTATTTGATTTGTTGAATATATAGTGTACAGGTAAATGATAACTATCTAACTTTGACCTATAACACATATAAAAGTTGCCAAAATTCTTGAAGACTGAATTTTTTTATATGAAATGGGGAGAGTCAAATTTTCAAGTAAATATAAAAGATGATAAATTAAACTTTTATCACTTAAGAAACAAAATAGCTTGCTTTTCAATATGCAACAATATTTAATTCAGACGCAAAGAGTTTCAAGGCAAGGCTTTAGGTTTGCTTGTTAATGTGATGTCATGAACACAAAAATCAGGAATATCAGGACAAAAAGCTAAAAATCAGGATGGAACAAAATATTTTAAATTCAAGAAAATAAGGAATATCAAGATGGATAACTTCAAGCCCTGTAATTGATGTTTTAAAACAATTGTTATTAAGTAGATTAAACTACTAGGTCAAAAATTTATAACCCAAACAAATTCTACTAAAGGATATAATTTCTTTTTTAAAAAAATGGATAAAAAAGTTATATAACAGATATTTAAATAAAACTGAAATGAGAGTAAGTGCAATGTTTAATAAAGAAAAAAATTTAAATATAAAAAAAGTTCTAATTAAAAATAAACCAGAAGATAAACATCAAAACATAATTTTTGCAATCTGTCCCTGTTCCAATTTAATATTTTTAGATTTTGTTTTCAAATTGAAACTACTCCACAAGTCAAACAAGAAAATAAATTATTAAATGAGTGAACTTAATAGAACTTTTTGAAACTTATTTAAAATATTTTTAATGTGAAAACATAAGTAAATAGTTTTAGTACAAATGCGACATTTCCTAAGCCTTAGCAAATGATAGCATGCCAATCAATAGAAAGGTTTTATAAATTATATTAACAAAATAAATTCTAGAAAGTTTGACAGTGCTACAAAAATATGTAGCAGCATATTTAGAAAAATTGACAAAATTACATGATTCATATTTAAATTATATAACTAATATGAAAATGATTATTCTGGTCTAATGTACAAGTATACAACAAGAATTATTCAGAAACCTAACATTTAATCATAATATAGTAAATCCTCAGGCTGCCAAAACAGGGAAGTCATCCCCTCCGCAGTAGATCAAAACCGAGATGGCATGTCTGTGAATCATCCCAAAGGATGTTTCCAAGACCATCCACTATATCTCATTATGCCGCTCTAGTGGGATAAAGTACTACTAATATTATAATTAATTCAATTTTAATATCATGTATTATCCAGTAAACCCATTGTTTATAAAAAATTATTTAATTAAAAATTATGTAGGAACTTTTTAGCTATAAAAAATTTCTCCATGGCTACCTAAATATCCTCCAAAGCCTTGTTAGACAGTCAGACCTATTCTGCTTTGCTGAATATATTTAATAACAACAAATATTGAAAATCAATAAATGAAATTAATGCTGAGATCAGAAAATTACTGCCAAACACTTTAATTATATTAATCTAAAAAATCTCCCTAAATTGTAACATAAAAGATTTAAAATCAATACTTAGATTTATAATTGTTAACAGCTCATAGTTATTATCAGTAATATAAACTAAAACAGTAATGAGTATTAATGTATTAAGATTACCATCAGAGAAACCAATTAGTTTTATTAATTTTGGCTACATTATTTATATGATATCTATAATATAAATCATAATTATTGTAGTATATAATGTAAGTATAGTGCATGATTTAGTGTCCAATAATGTAAAAAAAATAAACTTATCCCAGACTTTTGACAGATTTCAACAGTTTTTTACATCAAAAACTCAGCAACAAAATTTAGATACGTAATTTAGAAATAAATAATTAAAAAAATGTACCTGGTACAGTGCACCCATTGTAGCACTAGTAGGTGGAATGACATTGTTCACAAAGAAGAATAGGGCATCTTCAGGCCTTAAGTGAATCCTTTTCCTGATAAGGAAATAGAACTGGCCCACTGTCAGATCAGAAGGAACAAGGTATTTCTTTTTATCCAAATCTCCAATACGAGCTCTTGGAGCTTTCTCAACAATCACCTAAAAGAATCATTTAAGAAATATAACTTTAACTTGCTTAGTTGTGAAGACTATCAATACAAAATAAACACTTAAATCAGGGTTGGCAAGATTTTGCCGCAGGTGGAAAAAACCATGGTAAATACCGGTAAAAACCGTCCTGGCAACAACAGGTTTTTGCCAAGCAAATTGGCAAAAAGTGGCAAAATCCTATATTTTCCAAGATGAGAGGACAAAAACACATTTTTGATACAAAATTATTCCTAAAATTGTAATATATACTATAAATATAAATAATTACAAAAAAAATAACGAAATTATTATTCTATAATTAAATCATAATGTAATAATATATCATTTTAGTAGGTTATAACATTGATTGGAAAATTTGTGATTATTCTCTTTTTTCCAGTGAAATGAACTTATTTTAAACTAATATAACTATAATTTAAAGCATAAAATATCGATCAACATGTGTAGTTAATGATTGTACAAATAATATTTTTTTATAATAATAATAATATCATACAAATAATGTTTATTTGTAAAAAAACATTTACTTAAGGATTCTAAAATGAAAAGAAGTCAAAAACTTTCAATCTTTTAAAAATTATTACCCTTATATTCATTATTAATACGTAAAAAATAATTTTGTAATGTATCAAAATTATTATTCCTTATGATTGATTTAAATTTGTTTCAAGTATTTTGTAATAATATTTAATCAGCAATTTAGATAATTTGGTTTTTGCCGGTTTTTACCAGTTTTTGCCGGTTTTTACCAGGTTTTTGCCACTGTCCTGGCAAAAACCCCTTTTTGCCGGCAAAAACTCCAACCCTGNAAAAAAAAAAAAAAAAAAAAAGATTTATAATTACAGGATAACATCTTGCTCTTAGCAAGGATCTAACTAATATTTCGCAAATATTCAATATACGGCCTTTTTGCTGAATATTCGGCTTGGTGATGATTTTAATTAGGACTGATTAAACACCCACATCAATGACAGAGTTTTTTTTTATCAGTTCCAATAAAAAATCTTGATTGTTCATATATATCTCTTCTTGTTTTTAAATTCTTTTGTTTATCAATTGATAGAATAATTATGAAAGTAAATATTGATAGATTAAAAAGATAAGCAAATTGATATAGTAAACAAGAATCCATCTTTAAAAACAGAAGTCATGGGTCCTACAGACCCTTAGTTTCTATAATATAACAGAAATACTACACTGCTCAAAAAAATTAGGGGAACCGTGTGCTCCCCTAATTTTTTTGAGCAGTGTATATATAATACTACTTAATACTTTTTAGTCTTTCTAAATATTTAAGATTTTTTAATTTACTTCTTTTTTACTACAAAAAACAACTCTGTCAAGTTATGTATTATTTTTATGAATACACATTTGTTTTAAATACAAAGATAATTTTGCTAAGCAGGCTCCGGATTGATGTTCTTTCTCTGATAATAAGAAGCTCAAGCTTCATTAAAGTTCTTGAAATTTTGCCACTTTGAGCATCAGATTTTAATTAAAAATTTTTACAATAAAAAAAAATAATAAAAAAATTAATAACTATCATCAACTTTCAAAGAAATTACAAATTTACTTCGATTGATGGTTGAGTTATTTGATCATTCTTAAGAAAACAATCGAATCTAATAAATCCTATTTCATATTTGATCTTAAATACTGATTAATGTATTTTAATGCACATAGCAGCTTCACCAACAAGCAATGCCCTTACAATATGGCAAGCCCCTTGAATGTCTATAGGATTCATTGAAATTGCAGGAACCCTATAGCATAGGAAAATTTAAGAGTTCTAGGTCCCTGATTATAAAGCTCACATTAGGCATTTTGATTATTCACATATTATGTTTTCAAAACAAGCGTACTTGGTAACAGAAAAGATGGCAACAACCTTAAAAAATCTCTCTTTTTGATAGTGCTAAAACACCAAGAACTTATACCGTAAGACACAGGAAATCAGTCTTTAGGATATAGTGATTTCACAAATTATTACATAATTTTACAGATAAGAAATAAAAATAAAGCATCAATGGTGAGCAATAAAAAAATAAGTGCACAGCCTCACGGATACAGCCAAAGATAGCAATTATTAGACCACCAAGGACAGTAAGAAATTTAGCTTACTCTGGTAATTTTTATAAATAAATTAAATTTGTACCAGATACAAATTGGGTTTAAAAAGAATAAAAAATAATTTTTAAACAAATTTACTAATTGAAATTAAAATATTTTATGCATTTAAAAAGAGATTAAGAATACTGAGTAGCAAATTATAAAATTTTTATCATAAATTTAGTAGCAAAACATTTAAAAAACCATGTAAGTGGAAATTCAGAAATTATAAACTTAATTACTAATTTTCACTATCATTTGTAAACGAAAGTAATAATTGGTTATTTAGTTGGTGTTATACCAAAATGAATTTAAAATATGGATTTAGAACATTATGTAGGTTATTCTTCAGAAATGAGTGATTTTGCATCTCTTAATTTTCAACTTTTTACAAGGCATACTTTCTTTTTTTATTATTATTAATTAGATTATTATTATTATTATTTAGGCAGAGATGTGCATACTTGTGAATATTACATATCAAATATTTAAAAAAAAAAAAAAAAATTCCCAAATAAAATANAAAAAAAAAAAAAAAAAACTCTGTTGAATGGAATTATTAATTTTTCCTTCAATTTTACAATTCAGTTTCACTTTCAGTTATACAAAAGATTTCTACTCAATAAACTTGAAAAATATGATTGATATACAAGTTTATGTTACATTTACAAGCTTTTTAATTAGATTAAAAACCTTATACTTGATTGTTTAACAATAATAAACTTAAATACATAACCAACACTCCCAGCAATTAATTTGCCCCCCTTCTCCATATTTAAATAATAATTAGAAATCTAAAAGAATTATTGCAGACAAAAAATATAGATATGCAAGCAACAAATTAAAATGCTGCAAGAACAACAGAAATTTGCTTAAAAAATTAAATCAAGGAATAAATGTAGTATATGAGTAAAATATATTACAGATAATAAAAATTATTTAATATAAATGGGGAAAAGTTAGAAATCTGCTATAATTTAATTAAAGAAAAAAAAAATATGCAATAATTTTATTATTTATCCACAACATATTTTTAATTTCACAAATATTAGTAATTCCTTGAACAAAGTCTGAATTTATAAGATAAATTTATATTATTACTTTACAATAAGGAATCAATAATTATTAACTGACACCAACTAACTGCAAAAGACTATAAAAAATTAAAAGATTTTGTTTTGATTGTCATGTCATTAAATATGGTATACACCACCTACACAATTTATCAACTCATAGATTAAGTAAGAGTTAAAATGTATTTGAACAAATTCATGGTAAAACAAACACAAGGTTATCTTAAAATAAATCTCCTGATCATCCAAAGCGATTGCGCCAGCTTGAAAAATTAAATGCAGGCAGGTAAAAACAAGAATTTGAAAAAAATGACGCCTTTAAAAAATACAATTCATTTTTCAATAAACATTAACAATGCAATCAGTTTTCTTAATTTCACTTATTAAAGCGTTTTACTGGACTTATCGTAAACACATTTTGATTTCTTCAATATTTAAGAGGAAACAATAGCCCTTGATTGCATAACATTTTGAATACCTCTACGGAAGAGTTAATGGATTAAACTGAAAACACACTTTCCCATTAAAACATGACTTATTGTTTGAAATGCAATCTTAAATTAATATATTTAATAACGATTGATTTAATTAATGAAACTTACAGGCACTCGATCAGGGTACTTCCTTCGGATTTTTTCACCTTCAGCTCGTCTCTTTTCAAATGGATGCTCTTCTTTATATAAGAATTTCATCGTGGTTACCATAAACTAAAATTTTTAATAACAATTTAATAAACAAATGTATAACCTAGAAGAAGATTCACGTTCTAAATTTTAAAATATCTCGAAAAAGACAAATGCAATGACACTTGTAAAAATTAGTAAACAACAAACGGATCAGTTCACTAAAGCAACCAATGCGTAAGAGGAAAAGGGAAAAATTAGTTCCAAATAAAATCGAGAACAAATCTATAATTTAATCAAGTAGGATCTAAAAATTATGAATAAAACCTAAAATAGCACTCAATTTTTAAATATATGTAGTTACAATTTAATATCATGAACGTGAAATTCTATTGCGTCAAGGCGCGTAAACATACAAAACCTGATTGCACATCAAATTACGTCACGAGCTGTCACGTTCATGTGATTGATGTCACTAGAAAATGAAACTAAAAGCCAGTAAAGGAAAAAAAATCCATTAAAACCTGATGATTAATGAAATTTTAATTCTTTTTTATAGATACAAATAGAATGACTCACTAAACAATAACTTTTAGAACTTCGAACTTGAATTAAACTTTTAAAACATTTTTAAAAAACATCATTTTACTTGTTTTAAGGGTTATTTTTACTGCGCTGTAATTTATTCGCATGCGCAAAATCTTAAACAGCGAGAATGGTCTGTAACTTTGTTGAATTTAATTTTTGATTCAGTTTAAGTTGAGAAGACATAGGTAGACAAGAACGCATATCATAAATAAAGAGGTATTCTACCCTAAACCTAAAGTGAAAAAAATAAAAATTCATTCCAGATTTTATCAAAATGGTTTTCTTATCTCTGCCTAATTTTATTACTAAAACTGGATATGATGTTCAATTTAAGCGACAAAAGGTTCTTAAGTTGACAGCGGTAAGTTTGTTTTCATTGACTTTGGTCTGATAATATGATTTAATAGTTATTAAGATAGAAAAAACGATTAAAGATGACACAGTTTTCTTCTACTCCCGGTAAATGATGTTATGTAAAGCTAAATGCATTTTGAGCTGCTTACACTCAAAGTCTTTTCGTTAGATTTTACTCTAAATTCAGAAGTAGTACAATTAAATAGAAAACTTTAGAAAAATACTAAAAAAGCCGCAAATGTTGCGAAAGGGATCTGGAGCACTAAATTTTCCCATGCTCCAGGGTTTCAACAATTTTATATCCTACAGACAATTAAGAAGCCTAACGACATTACCTATTGGCCAAGTTGCAGTATAAAGATTATTTTTCACATGAAAACATTTAAGTTTAAATATGAAGGAAGATTTATTACATTCAGTTCCTTTCTTAACAATGAGCAAATAACTTAAAAGTGAATTAAATTAAATTTCTATGCTGTGTGAGCTGATAATTACCTATATTATTTTTTGTTTCTTTTTATCATATAATGTTTAATAAAATCTGATTAATAACCCTAGTATTATAGAACAATGTGTATGTGTGTGTTAGTTCTTTTGAATTTTATTAAGTTTTACTCTTTTATAGAAATATTTTGGACGTAGGAGAAATTGCTATTCCATCGCAATTAAGTTTCTTCAAAAGGCTTTGAGATATGCAACTGCCACAAGGAAAGTCAAACCAGCATATGTGGGCCGAGTAAATATAACTATTTATTTATATATTTTCTTTTTATTTACTTTTGAATCTATTTATGAAAATTAACACTATTACGCTATTATATTAATACTATTATATTGCAAATACACAATAATTTTTAAAAATTTTCTCTAAATCATAACATTTACTTTTTGTTATATTAATCAGACAAAGTTGCTCTTCCACGTCTGAAAATATCAATACCTTTAAGTTTGCACTCAACATTTAAACAAATTATTTGTTTCTTAAACAATGCTTCCTTATACAAAAAATATTTGAAACAAAATATTATTTAGTATAATTTACTATTTTCAAATATAGTAATGATTTGAAAAACTTTTGATTGGCAATACTGTAATCAATTCCACTCAAATGTTAGTTATTGAATCTGATCATCTTTTGACATTATTTATTGTTTTTTTTTATAGTTAATATCTTTTGTTATAATTTTTGAAATGTAACTTATAAAATTTCTATATTTCAAATACAATATTAAGTAATACAGATAAAATTTTCAAAATGCAAAAATTTTGCATATTTTATAACTAATTTAAAAACTACGGGAATTTTTTTCTTCTGTTGAACTGTTTTATGCGAAATTTGGAATTTTTTAATGAAAAATTTATCAACATTGAGCCATTCTCTTTTTTGCCGATGCCTTCTTTTGCCAAAAGATGCCCTTTCCAGTTTCTAACACATAACACTTGTTTCGATCTATAATAAACACTTTTTTTTTATGATAGAAATGCCGCCATATTTCCAAGTTTGTTAATTTTTGTAATTTATAACTTTTTAGCAATGTGTTGGTTAAATATTAATTTTTAATTATCTTTTTTTTTTCATTTAATTGTAGCATTTCCAAGTGTTGAATCTTATATTACTAACCTGTAAAATAAATTTAATTTGCTTCTCAGCTAGATTTCTTTATATGTTCAAAACTGTATTTTTTTAAAACTATTATCCATTTTGCATTCCTCATAACTTTTTTTCTTTTTAGTTTCATCATTTATGGTACTTGAACTTGTAATGTTTTTTTTTTCTTTGTTTTTGAATTGTTTTATTTTATCATAAGATCAAAGATAATTGAAGATTTTAATCTTCAATTATCTTTGACTATTGCAGTGTGCAAGATTTCTAAGAGTGTATTAAATTTTCCCTAACACATAACACTATTTATCATAGAACTGCTCAAAGAGTTTGAAAACTTCTGACAATTTTTATAGTTACTCCCAAAAACTCTGACCATAGTTTGGAGTTTTCAGTGATAGGCAGAGTTGTTTCATTTTCTAGATTTTTGCTTCAATCTTTAAAGCCGAGAAAGAGGCTTAAATGGTTCTATTGCTGAATGTGTCTTGTTTTTTTTTTCTGGGTGAGTAAGAAAATATCAATCTTCTAAGCACTCGCTTTCTTTAATCTTTAAGAAGATCGAGACAAATGTTTACATTTTGGCTGTAAGGCCAACGAGCAGTTAACTTTGCTTGTTAATAAAATGAAAAAATCATGTTAAATCATAATTATTCTTAAACTTAATTTGCTGTAAATTTACATCTGTTATTTATTATATCGGCATTTTTCGTTCAATGTTTTCCTAACTCTGAAGGCATGTTAAATTCTTATTTCCTGATCACTGCTTCTGTCTTATCTTATAAAAATAAACCTGCCTCTTCTCTATTCAATATATTTATTGTTTACCTCCGGATGCTGGAAATGCTGAGCATATTTGTATAATTGCAAATGCTGAGCATATTTGCAGTCACTCTCTCAAACCATTAAGTCCTAGAACGTAAAGATCCGATCATTAGATTAAAACGGGTGGTCCGTTTTTTGTTTTTCGCACTTTACTTTATTTATTGGAGGATATAAAAAAAGGCATTGATCACTGTCAATATTCCTTTAATAATCGCAAATATTTTATTATTTCCTAGCGTTTCTTAAATCACTGTCGAGATAAGCATAGAGTTTGAAAGTTAAAAGAGCGAACTCGTAAAAAGTGCTTTAGAGTAAGAAACTATTTCACATGAACATGAATTAATACTTCTTAATATCTCCTCATGTTTAACCAAGTCAATTTTTAATTCAAAACCATTTTGAATTTTTATTGAAATTAAGTTCTCCAGTTAAGTTTGTCTTCTAAAAGTAGCGAAATAGTAGTTGTAATAGTAGTTGTACTTCAGTACAATTGTAAGAAAGATGTTGTAGTTAACTACAAAGAAAATGTAGTTTTTCCGACCACTGGTTGGGATGGACTAAACCAAATTTTATATTTAAATCTCCTCTATTTTGTTCAGCTGTAATAACTTATAATTTGTTAAATATATAACCTTTTATAAAACCATATATGTATATTAAAATCATTATATATTAAACCTTTATGTAACCTTTTATTTTCCTGTTTCTAGCTGAGGGTTTCAAGAATAGATGCTGCCTGTCAAGAACTTAACACCGACTATAGAATTTTATCCACTAATTTAATTAAGGTATTTATTGCATTTTCTTATGACATTTTGTTTCAAAATATTGCAAAAATATCACAATATAAAATTTAGAAAGTAAAGATATATAAATTGATTATTGACTAAAGAAGAGTAAGGAATTAAATAATTGTTGTAAATGAATCCTCAATTCGCTTTAAATTTTCAAGTGAACAAGATACAAAAACTGTAAGAAATGTGTGATTTATTGTTGCACCTTTTTATTAAGAAATCAACAGCAGGGATTATTAAAATATCATAGTCTGGCAATTTTACCTGTTTTGACCTCTTTAGATGGATTGGGCTTCAGTCCCCATTTATTCTTAAAGTTCAACTAGCAGTTTTTCAGCAAAGTAGTTATGAAGCAAGACTATTTCGAATTTAAGTTTATGTAGTAGTTCAATATTCAGAGGGTTATTTTGTATTATTATCTAGATGCCATTTACACATTTTATTTTTAAAATTAAGTTTATTTTTAGTTTTTTTTTTTAAAAAAAACATTAAGGAAAAATTCTGATTTCTAGTAACAAAAAATAATAAAATTCTTTGTTTTGTCAAAACAAATTCTTTTTTTCAGTTGTAACAAAATATCAGAGAAAATAATAGAAAATTGGAAGAGATCACTTAATGTAATTTAGATAATTTGTATGGCAACATTACAAACATTATGTTACAATTTTCATTTTAATAAATTAGTTCATTTCTTTGATTGCAATATAAAATGGGCTATTCTATTATATTACAATATATAAAGACCTTTATATGTGATAATGGTATGAAAAATTGATTATGAATAATTATACTTTAAAATAATAATTTTCAGATGTGATTAAATTTAGCAATATTAAAGTATACTTGATTAGTTGAATAAATTTTGATTCTACCTCATTAATTTCTATGTCAGTTTTGTTCTCTCTATTGTGCAGAAAATTCTCAATTTTTATGAGTTGTAAAATTTGAGCTTGTATTAAGATTACAATATTTTCTTTTTAAATATACATTCTGTTATGAAATAAAATTTATTTATTAGTTATATGGTTACAAAATACAAATTAAAATTAATGTTCACTACTATTTTACAATTTGTGAAAAGCCGAATATTCAACCGTGCAAATTTTTGTGGAGTATATTTATTGTTTAGAAAATAAATCTATGTAATGTTGTTTTAAATGCCTTTTTATTTTTTTATAAATAGCTTTTGTATTTGTTGTTTAATATTGATTTCAACTCTAAAGCTTTTGGGCGGAATTCTTTTTATACACATTTGCTAGTTATTGTTTCCAAGCATTAAGAAAATAGCATTTTGTCACTGAATTTTTCAAATTAAGTTCACCAATTTACTTTCTTTACTACAGTGATTGCCATTAAAAAAAATATTGGATTTTAAAATCAAATTCACAGAAATTGAATTATAATATTAAAGCACATTAAAATTATCCTTCAAAAAATCATTATACTTCCATTTTTTGAAAATTAGAGACTTGATGTAAAATGTTTTGCTATTGCATCCTTGAATTTTAATTTATTGCAAATTGTTCAAAAAAATAAAGTTACAACCACTCAGAATTACTTAGAACATAGCCATTCATGTTGAATACATTCATTAAACAGCGTATACAGTGATGTTGGTAAACAGAAATTTTGATCTATGAGAACTATCAATAGATAAGCGGTGTAAAACTTGGGGATTTTTAAATGGTCAATCTTCACCCTTTCCCTTTGCAACCGTAAAATAATAGCAAATTTTACTTAAATCTTAAATTTTTTAAAATTGTTTTTCAAACAAATCTCAATAAACTTTAATAAAAAATAAAAACTTTGAAATAACATTAAAATTCTCAAATATAGATTTTCTAATTCAGTTTAAGTTCAAAAAGTTATTTAAAAATTAACTCTTTAATTTCTATATTTTTGTAATGTTTTATTTGCTTTATATTTTTTTCCATTTTGTATTTACAATTTTTTAAATTATGGTTGTTGCCCTTAGTATCCTTTTTTTTTCCTTCACCAAAATAGTTTTGAATTTTCATTAATAATTTTTCTTTATTTATAGTGTAATCTTGGTCTCAGGAACAATGTTCTTCAAGATTTAGCGATTTGGGAACCACGAACATTTAAGGTAATTATATGCATTAACTGGTTATACTTAATAAAAGCAAGAGCTTTTGATATTTTTTTCATAATAAAATAATCTAATTTTTGAACTTTACTTTAATCCTTCTTGTTTTTATCTATTTTTTTGTGGATGCTATTTCTTCAGTGTATTATTTTTACCTCATTATTTGTTACTATGCTTTTATTGCATTATTCCGTAAATTTGATCAGGGATTTTATTATTATTAGTTGGATTTTGCTTAAGTTAAAAAACGTAACAGGTCTTATAGCTTTTGATATTAATAAGATAACATGCTTAGAATTTATTTTTATTAAATGTAATGTCTAGATAAATTTTTGCATTTAAGAAATAAAAATTTCCTTTTTCATGAAGTGTTAATTTAGTGCTACGTCATGAAGTCTTATTTAAGCACTGAGCAATAAATACAAAATTCACTATTTTAAAGTTTAAAGAAGAGTTTGTCAATATAAAATATTGACTTTTATCCAGGAAATATTTATTTTTTATTAAACCAAAGCTTGACATAGTATGCTTATACACATATTTCAAATATGAGTTTTTTTTTTAAAGAAAAAACTTAAGAAGGATTAAAAGCATTTAATTTCTCTATTATGTATATGAAACTTTTCAAAATAAAACTTTGGAAATATCTGGCTACTCTTACTAAATTTCCCTCTATTTGTATTTATTATTTATATTATCTATATTTTATATAGATTATCTGTTGTTTTTATCCCCGATTTACATATGAGAAAGATATAAGCCAATATTGGCACTACATTGTTATTTTGTATTCAATATAATAGTTAAGGTAAATGTAAACCATTGAAAAGTAAGTCAAATATTACTAGCAATCTAGCAATGCATAATCAAGTACTACCTCATGTTAACAGAGTGCAAATTGAAATTTAAATCAGTAGATTGTCTCAGTTGATAGAATTGCATGTTAAATACAATATAACAAATAAATCTATCCTTTTTATGCTTATCTATTTCACGAATTTATTTTTATAATCTCTTTACTAGTGTTTGACAGATATTGCTGTGACAAAAAACAAGATAGAGGCTCCAGATCATATTAAGGACTTCTTAAAAATGCCCGGAAATGTCATTACAAGAGGAATGTTGTAATTAATTTTTTAAGATCCATTTTCATTGTTACATTCACATAAGTGCATTTTGCATCCATGCTGTAGAAAATAAAAAATTTAATAAATATGTTGAGTAAGAAATTTTATTTTTATTTTCTCCGGTCTGTTGGTCAATAAATTCATGGAAACCATTTCGGGGGATTGAACTTAGAGTCGTCGAGTCAAATTTGAGATATTCTTTCGTAATCAATCTGATGCTTTTGGGAGACCTCCATCTTGGAACTTGCATTTTTGATTTTCCTTCCTTTTATGTGTTTTTGTACTTATACTTTTGATGATAGTGTATTGTTTAATAGCAAAATACCTTAAAGAAAAATGGGAAAAAGGATTCACTTAACTAGATTTGAAGAATAAACACTTATTTGAATTTTCCCTCAAAAGTTTATACATTTTTGATTGTCATTTTATTTCATTAATTTTTTTAAATTTGCTTGTAAAAAGAAAAATAATAATTGGAAAAAAAAGCATACATTTATGAAAAGAATACTCCAAAATAAGCTTAGCATCAAATAAGAATAGAAGCACTGAATTGAGTTATGACATCCAGTAGTTTTCTTCTTCAGGGATGTGATTCTTCCGTGGATTTCCGCTTTTTTTCAGATTTTTCCATTTCTCCCGCTAATTTCCGCGGAAATAAGTATTGAAGCCCTCATTCCTCCCTCTGAAGTTTCCCTAAAAATCATTTCCTTGGGATAAAACTGGTTGACCTTTGTAATCAGGGATGAGATTTTTCTGCTATTTAGAGGATTTTCGCTTTTGTCTCTCGAATTTCAGCCTTTTTATCAAAAACTCTAAAAGTTTTGTTTTTTTTAAAAAAAAAAAATTTTAATTTATAAATATCCCGCTTTTTTGTGAAAATTCAGTCATTGAGATAAAACAATAATACTTATTTACGATTTTCAAAGATAAACAGAATATTCAAACTACGTCCTAGCTGCTAACCCTTCCACCTTTTACTTATTTTTGCTATTTTCCCCGATTTTACGCACAGAAAATAAGATTTTCCGTATTTTTATCCGTCGCCTGATAGCTCGTATTTTCGTAATTCAGACGTTGCTGCTTCCTGTTTGCTGGCTCGAAAGCAAACGAAATAATAATTAAAAAAATAGCTGTGGATTTGCAGTGAAAATATTTATTTACTTTTTCAATTAATCTTGTAAATTTTTATTTATTATGGCTAAGCAAAAACAATACAAACTAGCCTTTTAGAAATCCCTAGCCCAGAATCTGCTAATATCTTGATTCTTATTCANAATATCGTACATTGCGGTTCTTATTTACGAGATTTAAAAATCCAATATCGCGATTTGTATTTACACGCTTTTAAAAGCTTATGTAGCGCGAGCTTATAATCCAATGTGATTCGTTTATGCGGTTGTAATATCAAACATCGATTTTCGTATTGATGCGAGCTTTAAAAATTAGACATTTGGATTCATATTCGCGCAATTTAAAAATTATGCATCTTGATTTGTATTTACGTGATCTAAAAATTACGCATCATGATTTATTCTCTCAATTTAAAATCATGCATGTGATGCATATTCATACAATTTTAAAATTAACCATCGTGGTTTATAATTGCATGATTTACAAGTTTAAAAATCGCACTTTTTTGGTCAAGTTTTTGGATTTTGAATATATATATATATTTTCTTGGATTCACTCTTTTTCACTGCTCTCATCTCTGCTTCTAGTAAAGAGGCTTCAAATACTTGATAACTTTATTTATAAAAATGAGAAATTATATAGTAAAATGATTTGTTAAATAAAGATATAATACAAAAGAAATAAAAAATGAATACTTTTAATCAATGATTGTCCCAATTTTTTACAAGCAAATTATATAAGACAAAAAAAAACTACACATGCAAATTTAATGTGACAATGATTCAAATGCAATCTACAAAAATAATTTACTGACAAATTCATACAAAAAAAAAAATGTCATTTTATATAAAGATGTTTTCAACATAATACATAGAAATCTCGTTTATGAAACGGATGCAGTCCCTCTTTAAAACTTTTCACCACATGCGACAGAACTTTTGAGAGTTCATCACACTACCTCCGGAACATGAAAATGCATTTGCAAACTCTGGCATCTGTTGCAAAGTGGCTAACACCCTGCAAATAAAAAATATTTTCTTTATTTGTAAAAAAGTACACAATGTGCAAAAGGGGTGATACATAAAATTCAAGAAAATTTATTTTAATGGTACACTACTTTGATGTTGCAACTTAAAATTACAAAATATACCCTTTACAAAAAGGAGATAATAAACCATATGAAATAACACTAAACTAAATGAGCTGTGATGGCTCAGTAATAAAGTCATTGTAAAGAACTAAGGATTGATGATTACCAGCTTGTCTGGCTAGTAATTCACAATATTCGGAGCCTTAACGGCCATGTACCTCCCTGGCTCACAATGGGCTATTGCAGGGATGCTTTATTTAATGTAAAATAAATATTAAACGTGATATATTGCTGGTATTTCACTTAATTTGAATCAATGATATTTAAGGCGTTATGTTGAACCTCCTGTCTTTAAAAAAATTAGTCAAGATAAACTTTTATTGTTAATTTATTCCTCTTCTTATAGCATTTCCCAAAACTTAAAATATCTTCACATAGTTTAACTTCTGGGAAATTTTTTTGTTGATTCTTAAATTATACAGAAAAAAAGATTAGAGAAACCTAAACAATATTTGAGAATTACAGGAGTAAGTAATAATAATGATTTTTAATAAAATATGCATTGTTATAAATGTTTTTTTTTTAAATCTTAATTCATCTTAAAATATAATAAGTAATACAAACAATAAAAATGGAGGTTAATTTATAAGACTTATTTCCTTTGAAATCTAAAATTGTAATTAGTAAAATTTTTTTTAAACTATTTTGTTTTATTTTGAAACAATAAACCTTTAAGATACCTTTTAAAGTCGTCACTCATTTTGCAATACACCAAGCTAATTGGGAAAAAAAATTGTATTTTCTAATCAGCCTAACACTTTTTAGGCTCTTTTCAAAATTCCTATATACTTTAATGCTAATAAGAAAATATATTGCTCATTTCCAAACTATCAGATCATTAGAAATGAGCGTATTTAGATTAGCGTAGACTTGATTTACCATGTATCTTTATTCATAGCATGGACATAATACAAGAAAAATAAAAAACTGTAGCGAAATCAAACAAGGTGAGTAAATCTTTCTAGGATTTTAATTCGCCTGAAAACAAATGGAGTAATGCAAAATAAGAGCTTGATTTTCCACTAAGACATAATTTCAAAATGAGGTTGTAAAAAGGTACTAAAATTGGAACTTATTTAATTATTAAAATAATCTAGAGACAAGGGATAGAAAAATTACCTCAGTTCTTCAGGAAGGTGAGTGCTTGAATCCTTTGATGACATTAATTTCTTGGGATTAATTATTTGGCACAAGGACTGAAAATTGAAAGCATAAACATTAGTTAATCAAATAAATGAAATACATTTTTTTTTCCAGTTACATTGAATCATAATTAATAAATTCATAGCTGTCAACATAGATAGGCAAAAATGCAGCATATTTTACGAAATAATGTAAATGTCATGACAATTGTTGTAAAATGTGATAAATAGGACTTAAGGAATATAAGGGATTTTTTATAGTCAATAAAGTAGAAAAACTGCAATATTTTCCAGTAGTTATTAACATTAAATGGACGTGAAATGTTATGTACTATGTTTACTCATAATTTTGTATAGTAAGTGGCATTTAATTCATCAAAGATAGTTAAAAGGTTTTTTAATAAATTTAAAAAGAGAGTTCTGAATAAAAATAAATGCAATATTTTAAAACAAAAAAAAAAGTATGAAAGGCATTTTTATAAAAAAGGCTAACTTCATTATGTATTAATGACACTTATTTAAATATTTAAACAAGCAATAATCAGTGTAAAAATTTTATTTAAACAGGAGTTTTTTTAAAGAAAACTTACTTAATTTTAGGCAATTTTCAAAAACCAGGAGAATTTTTATACAATCAGGGGAACAGACAATACAGTAGAGTTGGCAGCTTTATAAATTACTTTAATTAGACATTTGAACATTTAGTACTTTTTAATAATTCTAAATCAGAATAGGTAACTCTTTCAGAGCTATATGAACCTAACTTATTGAAGATATTGTAGCTAAGTATCTACGTCACGTGAATGATATTGTTAATAAAATGTACATCCACTTTCATTAATAGCTTGATGCATACATAATACCTTCTCAAGAAATTTGAAGAAAGAATAAACAATAAATCCCTTTAAGAGACCCAATAAAAATTTTAAAAAATCCTATGGGTTAGGTTTTCTCTAAAATGACATTGGTATTTTAGAGCTCGAACTTTCATGTCTTATCCTTTTATAGCATATATTTAATTGTGCATTTGTTTCAATATTTTTTTTTTGGGGGGGGGGAATAAAAGCTCATATCGGATACCATTACTTTACAATTGTAATTTTCAAAAAAAATTCTTTTTAATAATAAATTTAGAGATATTATGATTTAGAATTACTTTATACAAATAACGTTTTGTTACATGTGACAAGAATTATTTATTTGAGAATAAATGATATAAAGAACAGATTATTAATTAAATAACGTTTTGTTTTGTGTGAGAATTATTTGCCTGAGCATATGACATAAAAAACAGCTGATTATTATTTTAATCATCTTTTGTTTCACATGTAGCAAATAAGTAATGATGTTTTGTTTCACGTGAGAATTATTTACCTAAGTGATTTAATTATATGACATAAAAACAGCTTATTATTTAAGTGATGTTTTGTTTCATGTGACAAGAATTATTTACTTGAACATATGATATAAAGAACAGCTGATTATTTTTTAAATAACATTTTGTTTCATAGGAAAATTATTTGCTTGAGTATATGACATGAAAAAGAGTTGATTATTATTTAAACAATGTTTTTTTTCAAATGACAAGAATTATTTACCTGAGCATATGACATGAAAAACAGCTGATTGTTGTTTACGTTCATTCCAGGCAATACACGTTCACTAGATTCTTCTTGGGCATGTCTTTTATAAGCCTACATAAACAGATGTGATATGTTTTATGAATCATTAGAATAACAGCACATAAATGAGCATACTTTACATTTTTAAATATTTTTTTCACACTGTTTTGCGATGTAAACACTGAAAGCTTTTGTTACTCTTGCATATAACATCTTCAGTGTAGCAGAATACAAATAGAATTATTATTATTTTTTTTATTTATTTCTTTACGACTTGACTCTGGTTCCGATCTAACGCACAAAAATATGCTATCACTGAGATTATTAAACGTACCCTGGTAGATATAATGACACCAGACGATCTCATGGACCCTCTTCATATGAATCAAATTTAGATCTTTGCACCTAATTAACATCTCTCGGGGTTGCATAGCGACCACCTGCCCTGCCACAAACAGCTAATTGCTCTTAATGCTTTCTTTTAATTCTACTCATTTCACTTCATTGCTATTTATTTGTTTTTAACTTTGGAACCCTTTTGGTTCAATGATATTTTATATTTTATATTCTGGAAGCCTGTTGGTTCAATTTCTATGTTTTCAATGTTTTATTACGTTTAAATTGCTTTTGCTTGTCTAATTTACCTTTTGATCCAATGTTTTTAATGTTTACAATCTTTCACTTACCTGTTTACCCTCTTGGATCCAATGTTATATACTGTATTCTTTTTCAGATTGTTGTTGTTAGTAATATTCAAAGATACTTAAGAAATCATGTAATGCTATATCAAATTCGTC